TGATAATTCCATGAATTAATGAACATGAATTATGAATTAGCACCAGACATTTGGTTCCAACAGAATGGTGCACCGCCACATTATGCATTAGGGGTCAGACAATACCTAAATGAGGTGTTTCCAAATCGATGGTTTCGACGGGGTCACGTAGAGTGGCCAGCACGATCTCCTGATTTGAACCCTCTGTTGATACTATTGAATCTTTCAATTTCTAACGGGGATCGGTTTTCTTGATTTTTCTCAAAAACTTTCCCGAGTAACCCCATACAAATTGCACATGAATTTACTCAGAATGAGGTCAGCTTTGTAAAAAAAGTTACAAATAATACCCCTTGTAATTTAAAAAAATTGAGTCGTGACCTGTGGCGCCGCCATGCGGCACTTTCCGGCACAACTAAGTCCACCAAAATGTTCCTGGGAAAAAAACTCAATGGATATGTCCGAGCGTTTTTTCCAAAAATTATCAGTTTTTGAAATAATTCACAAGTTCCATACTTTATTTCCACACTGTATAAGCAGAACAATTACTAACGTATATTAAAGCTGTGCGAGAACCAGTGGGAACTTAGTTATTGCAGAGATGTTCTCTGTTATTTTTAAAGATATGAAAACAATTTTAACAGGGGTTTATTTTGTCTGAAATTTCACAATATCCTGCTTGAAAAACAATAGAAAGAAAGTTTTAATGTCTAATAAAAGTTCATTCCATAGTTATTTTGTTGCATTTTAATGTCTAATAAAAACATATACAGCGCGGTAAAAAAACTCGCACGCAATGCCTGTAGCTTTTCAATAATCTTGTATATGAAAAAATATCCTGAAAAAGAGTTTTTCATTAGTTTGTCATGCTCATGTAACCATGAAATAATTTTGTCTTTTCGAGTTTGGTTGTTATGGAGACCAACTACATTTTTTTTAAATGAAATTAAGTTTTTTCTCAATATTTGGAAGATCAGTTTTTTCGCTTTACTGTACTTTGATTTGGTTACATATATAAATTTTCACAAAAAAACAGGTTTACAGAACTCTTTGAAACTAATAAAAAAAAAGATAATCATAATGATAAGTACCAGTGAATCATTTTCTGTATTTGTATTCAATAACTTCTTATTTCGTTTGAGTTTTTACGAATTATAAATAGATAATGGATTGCTTGAGTGAGAAGCAATGAATTGAAATTTTAATAATGAGGGGGGTTTGCAGAGATCCCAAGATTAAGTTTGTGTACTTTTTAATCAATTGTACCCCAACAGATCTCCAAGCTAGTCAACAGTAGGCTGGTTGGTAAAGAAATTTCAAATAAGTGGGAGCGTTAAGGATTCCGCTAAATCACGTAGACCTGAACTGCAAAAAGGAAATAAAGCGTTGGATATTTTCCTATCAGTGCGTCACAATCTAATCCAATCTTTCAGGGTCTTGGCAACTACTTTTGATATTTCTCACCAGTCAGTTAGAAATGTATTTAAGCGAGAAAAATTGCATCCCTAAAAACTACAACTTGTTAACGAGTTAAACGAGAATGACCTCGATAGAAAGATCAGGGAAGAAGAGGCCAATTGACTGACTGAATGGTCAGCCCACTTCCCGGATCTAAATCTCTTATATTTTTTTCTGTGGGGGTATTTGAAATGTAAAGGTTATGTCAATCGACCAGTTAACATTGAAGATTTGAAACAGACAATTTCAAAGCAAATGTTATTGGAAGAGTCTCAGGACCGGCTTCGGCATTGTTTAGAGGGAAATGGGAGGCCATATGTCACTTTTAACACCTCATTCGCTGACAATCGTTTTGTTGTTTCATTTAAAAAAAAATAGTAATTAAGTAATCAATTACATACTTTACAAAAATTTACTGTCAACGTGTTTTTTTTTTGCGAAAATTTCTTTATGTAACTGTATCAAATTTTTAGTTACAGTAAAGAGAAAAGGCCGTTTTTTCTCTGCTGATTGGGCAGCTGAGACGGCAAGGAAATGGCTGACATTGCTTAGAACTGTTAAGTTCTGAAGATTTCATAATTAAGAAAATTAAATATGGTAATCACGGCAGAGCAAAAGGTCTCATGACCGAAAGTTATTTTAGAAATGGGGATTGATGATCCACTGGTTCATTCAACACGGGACGTCTTTCAGGATTTTCAATTTTCGCATGGCGTTCCACACATGGTGGAGGCATGGTCTTACCTTTCTGGTTACGTTAATTCAACAAAATGAGAATGTTAAGCTCTGAAAATCACAATTGACATACCTAACTCTTATTAATTATTTTTTTTAAACATTTTTTGAAGACCGAATCATTAGTCATAATACGGTCTTGAGATTTCACGCCGTGCGACTTATTTTTATGGCCACACATTAAAAACTCGGTTTCCAAAACTCCTTGCGAAAAGTTAGAAAGACATACAGGCTAGAATTACAGATAAATTTCATGAGATTAACAACTTCCCTCGAGTGCTCACCAATATTTTGGAGTTCGTGAAAAGAAGAATTACATGTTCAAATGAAGCAACGGGTTAATATCAAGTTTCTTGTTATTAAACAGGGGAAATTTTTTACAGAAGCTTATGCAATGTTAATAGAAGTGTACGGGAATGAATGTTTATCCCGCACACAAGTTTTTGAATGGTTTAAATCATGGGTCGGCAACCTTTTTTCTATAGAAGGGCCATTTGGTGGTTCAACGAATATAGTGCGGGCCGCATGCCATCCGAAAATTGAAAATACGTCATATTAGATTAATGAAACAGTATGGTAAATTATAATATTAATTGTAGATAACCGAAACTTATCATAATGAATGTGAAATAAAACGGCCAAAGAAATAAGTCATAAAATATTGTAACCCATTAAGTCCCAAATGTCCTGATTTTTTAAAGATTACACATTATTTAAAGACAAAAATATTTCTGTTTAAGCTTTATAATTTTTTTTTTCTAAAAACTACGAACTTTTGGTAAAAAATGTTCTAAAAATAAAAATGTCAGAATCAATCCAAAAATACTTCATATTTTTTTAATTACATTTTTGGAAATTTTTTATCTATCGTGATTTATTGAACAATTAAAAATCGTCTAAAAATTCTGAAAAATATACTAATTTTTTGAAAAATTTCTCAAGAACAAGAATGTCTTGGAATTTTTTTGAAACAAAATTTTTTTCAGGTTTTTTTAAGACGATTTTTGATTGTTGATTTTGAAACCACAAAATCGAAATTTCTAAAAATGTTATTTAAAAAATTTGAATTTCTCGATTGATTCTGACATTTCCTAGAAGATTTTTACTGTTAGTAGTTTTTGATAAAAAAAAAAATGAAGTTTATACAGAAATATCTTTGTTTCGGCCATTTTGTTTTACCAAATATTTTTAAAAAGCCATGTATTTTAAGTTTTGGTCTCAAGATCACGATTTTTTCTAGTATAGACCCGAGGATTACCTGTTTCATAAAGAAATTCAGGTCAGGTCTATTTTTTTTGTTGCCGAGGAAATCGTAATTTTGTTTAAAAATTTGTTTTAACTTTTTTAAAATCAGTTTTTGAAACCTTCTAAGGCCATATTCTGAAAAAGCATGAAATTTTACGTCGGAATTGACCTGATCGAATTTTTTTCAGCACCTGAAAACTTTGCAAACTGCAAAAAGAACATTTGGGATTTAATGGATTAAAAAAGAAATACATTTCGAAATATTTTATTTTTCCTTGCGGGCTGCAGAAAATAGGTTGGCGGGCTGCATATTGTTGACTGCTGGTTTAAATTGTTTAAAGAGGGACGTGAAATGACCAAAGCCGATCCGCACCCCGGACGGCGCTCAACGTCGGACGAAAATACTGAAAAAATTGGAGAAATAATCCGCGAAGATCGTCGTCTAAGCATCGGAAGGGCTTGCTAAAATAACAGAAATCGACAAAGAATGTGTTCGCCAGATTTTGCATGAATCGTTCAACATGCGTAAAGTTTGCGCAAAAATGGTGCCAAAACTCCTCACTCCCGAGCAAAAGGAATCAAGAATGAACATTTTTTGCGCTGACATTCTAAACAACATTGACACTGATCCAGGGACTGAACCAGCGGACAGAAGCGAACTTTCAGCACTGCTTTCAACAATGGAAATGTCGTATGGAGCGGTGTAGAGATCGCCAAGGAGAGTACATTCAAGGCGAAAAAGTTGATACTGTAATTGGTAACGAAGAAAAAGTGTTAATGACAGCAGTTCGGCTATTTAATAGCCACACCTCGTACGTGTGTGTTTTTTTTGTATTATGCAATGACGACAGTAAAATAATTTTCTTAATAATAAAAAACTTCAGAACTTGGCAGTTGTAAGAGTAATAAGACATGCGGGATCAATTCCACAACATACCTTGAGGACGTTTTTTTTTTATTTTGCGATATAATTTAAACGAACTTACTACTTTCATTAGGAATGAAATATAAAAATAAAAATGGCCCTTTTTACGATTTTTTTGGAGGTTGCGAAACTTGCAACCCCACGGGCCCCGTCCCTCTTCCTCATCGGGTCGAAGACGTCCGACTGCCTCCACGGCTACCGGGCAGCGACTCCCACGGTCGGCCGCACGCCTTACGCACACACGGGCACGCTTGCATACGCTTAAAACGTCCCGCCGCGTACCGTAAACAGGCGATAGGAGGGATCCGGACTGCCATGCTGCCGGCCGCCATTGGTCGCCGTCCGTAAACAGTCTAATTGTCGCGTACCCACCCACACCGCCGCCGGTTCGAGGCGCCCGCGTCATGTGTGCACCAGGTGACTCGGCGGAGACGCTGCCGAGGAGTTCCTCGGGTCGGTGCGGCCAACGCGTCGGTTGCGCCTCTCTCGCCGCCAGCGGCGGCGCTCGGACTCGAAAAAAGGGCGGACTTTTCCTTAAAAAGGTAAAACCTCAATAAAATAATAAACAAATAAATCACACCACAGAAATTGATATTGTAATGGAAGAGACAACACAACCAAACCCTGTGCCTGTCACAGGGTTTGGTTTGTGGCCAATTGCCATAAGCGGGATTCGAACCCGCGCGGATAATAGTTCTCGGATCGCCATCTTCTCACCTGACGCTTTACTCACTGAGCTATTGCCGCGGCAAATCAAATGAAAGAATTAATTAGGAGTAGGTGTTAATCATCGGTTTCTAAAGTGGTCTATATGGACACCACTGATCTGTATTTTAACCGGATAGGCAGTAGAACGTAAACGGGGGAAATATTTGAAGGTTCACCATTTTGTAAGACAGTAAGGAGACCCAATCGCAGCAGACTGGTTTTAGCTGTATGCGCTTGATCACATATCGGCGCGTATTTGAATGCGGGCAAGTGATAAGATAAAGTGCATTGAACTTGGTAAGAGGAGAAAAAAGCGTTGTTTTTTCTATTTATTTCTTCCTTACAGGACAGTGACAACGTTGTATAAGAAACGTCATAAAATCTTGATATATTACTTATACTTAAATATAGAGATTTATATAAGATATAAATAGAGACTCATTTTTATCTTCATGACATTTTCCAGAGATGATGAACTTGATGTGTCCCGACTTCTTCACTGACTCAACCCGCAATAGGCGCACTTAACCATTGATGTTCTTCAACTCTTATGTTTCAGTCATTTGGTCATATTTGTATTTACAAACAATGATTACAATATCCATAAGCACGAACAGCTGATTGCACTGACGCAGAATTTCTTACAAACTTACAAAATGGCTATTGTTCAAATCCACCGAAAAAGGCGGAGAAGTACGTAGAATAGTGCCTAGTGCCTATTCTACTGCGTATCCAGGGTTGGACACCTAGGGATCGTTTCGACAGTTCTATTACTTTCTAAGTACAGTTCTATTTTTTGAAATTTTTTGTCGCTTCCTGATATTTTTTTGTTTTTTCTTTTTTGTATTCACTGTAATGTGCTGAATTCAAATATGAGTTTGGTTTTTATCCATCACCCGTAAGTTTTTAGAGAAGGGAAGACGAATATAATATATGATAAATCCAAACCATCTAGTGAATTTTCGAAGATTAAAAAAACAAAACCACTTTTTTTTACAAAATATATTTCATTTTGTATAAAAAAAAGTATAATACAGTCAATAAATTATGTTGTTGTCTTTTTTTTCGCTTGTATTCGCTGGGATCGGTTTAACGTTTGAGGGCCCAACATATTTGTGGTCCATTTTCCATTATACCGCCTCTACGTTTGAGCAATTTGCTGATGAAATCTTTCGCCGTGTTCATCTGAAACTGCACCTACAATGTCAGGGAGAATTCCAAATAGGAGTGAAGAAAATGCAGCTTAAGTGACATGTTGCAACCTAACCTCTTGTAAGATTGAATAATTCTCCGATTTTCTGTTGCCTAGGAAGTTGCTACATACCCACATTTTTGAAGGCAGTCCATGCCCAATGTTATTTTCTCGAAAGTGTATTTTCAAAATTTCAATCTTTAAAAAGTTTCAAGTTTCAGTTAGCAAATTTCCGTCTCAAATAAAAAAAAAGCATTTTCCTTTGGTATTTAAGGCTTTAAATTTTTGTTATAAGGCCTAGTAGTCTGGACAGAGGAGGTAAATACGTTTTCTGCTGCTCCATTAAGGGGTCATTAAGGACGTTTTTCGCTGCTCATTAAGGGTTCGTTTCGGATGTTGTTGATATTCTTTAGATTTTGCTACGTGATACGACAATTTACAAATCAGTGTAATTGTTACATAGGTAGAAATTATCAAAAAAACACATTAATTGGCGGGGAGGATTTTTATGTAGTTGTATTCAACATAAAATATTATCATTCAAATGACCGCAACTTAGTGATAAGTTCCGTAGTTGTGTATTTCACTTCGGACTCTACTAATGACAACACCCATATACGGTACACTTGTGGTCAGTGTCGTCATTTTTTTGTGGATAACAACCTAGCGTAGATTGAGTTTTAATTAACACATTGAAGAATGCAATTGCAGACGAATTTTGACCCACTGAAAAAAGCGCGTCAGCATTTGCAGACGCTCATCCCATATAAAATACACATAAGTTGACGCACACTATGTATTTCAGTTTTGCTAAAAACTCCCTCATTGTTTCCCCTAAACGCATACTATAAATCAAAATTCTACAAAAAGTGATGTGCTGTTCTTAGTAAGGTACATTTCAATAGAATATCTTTGAATGCGTTAAATTAGGCTATATTATAACAATAATAATATTTACTTGCAGGTTGTAAGCATACTACCTACATAATATTAAATAAGTACACACAGACATTTACACACAGACATTCCGCAAAAATACCAAAAACATGGTGCAAAACACCTGCTGAACAATATTTTTTTTGTTTCTTTCTGTAGTATTGAATAACACAACAAAATAATAACCACAATAAAAACAAAAACAATATACACATGTATGGAACGCGAGGGAGATCAATTATACAAAATCCAAAACGAATTAATCAGATGGGATCTGTTTTACTTTTATTTTAAAACTACTCAGAGAAAGCTCTTTAATTTCAGTTGTAGATATAATAGGGAATAAAATGCGCGGAAGTACAAACCCTATATATTGCATGTTTTTGGGGTTGCTGTCTGATTCGTGTTCAGCGACCTCAAAAACATAAAGGAGACTGGGTCTGTACTTCCGCGCATTGGAAAAACTTTTGTGGTTCTATGTTATTTAAAGAAGTTTATTTCCCACACAAAAAAAAAGGTAAAAACAGTTTGGAAAATCACCAAATATACCGGTATAATCACCAAAACATTCCAACTTTTACAAGCCTTCTCCATTTTTATAAAAAAATGGGTATTTTTTAGGTAGTCAAAAGGTGTATAACCCCTTAAACTAATGTTAACATTTTGTAAATATGAATAACGATAAATATCGTGTGTTCTGCGGCACTTTACGCACCATCCCGCTGCTGCCGGCCACCAAACCCGACTGATTTATGTCCGCGACGATTGCTCTCCGTCGCTTATCTCGCGAGCGCGGGCATAACTCAAAAAGATCGTACGGCGGCGGTCCGCTCGCTTTTTTTGTTCGCCTCGCCGATGCTATCGCCCTTATTATTAATAGCGCCCGTTTCACTAGTATCATTCGTAATTGAGGTTATTAGAAAGGGAATGTTGATTGCCCGGGTCCAGGGGAACATCTGTAGGTTACCGAGAGTTATGCCAGATATTGCGTAACCGGTCGGCTGATGGTATACGTTATTGCTGCGCATTGTGACTGAATGGCGATGGTAATGGGCTGTTTTTAGGTGGCTCTTGATTGTTTCATTATGTATCGTTACGGTCGTTTTCAGTTCGTAGGTAGATGAAGATCAAGATGATGGACAAAGAACTCGCGGGTTGAAGACAGTAATATTGATGCACGCTGCAACAAAATATATTGAGTAAAAACACTTGAAAACGAAACTTGCTTCTTGTGCAGCAGCTATCTCGTTTTTATCAATTTTTTTTCCATCTAAATCTGCATGAGTGAGTCTCAAGCGTCGGATTTTTTTCCCAATAACTATTCGAAAAAGGGTGATGTGAGGTTGTAAAACATCCTTGGTGAAAGATACATTGGCATCTATGGTAAGTCGTCGTAGATATATTTGAACTTACATATTATACATATAATTGCGTATGGCAATAATTGCATATGATTACACCACAATACCATAATAACTTCGATATAATGGCTATTTCCATTTCTGAAGTTTATATCCAGATTTGATGAGGTTTTGTTTTTTGAACGGCTCATTACCCCTTCTTTGACCTTGGGGATCCCCCAAGATCTGCGAAAATCAGCTATAGAAGTTCCTTGAGAAGCCACACAGCGCTGGAGACGGTTCTTCCATTCCTTCTGGAACTCATATACTTGAATAGCCTTCAGCTGGTCAGTTACAACCATTTGAATGTTTCCTGTGGTCTCAAAATGACGTCCCTTAAGGTGATTAACATTCTCAGGAAGAGAAAAAAGTACAAGGACTCAAGTCAAGCAAATAAGGAGGCTGAGGAGCCACAGGAATGTTTTTACTGGCTAAAAACTCGCTTACTGAAATGGCTGTGTGACAAGGCGCATTGTCGTGATGCAACATCCAGTTTTTCTTGACGTTTGGTTTCTAAAAAAAGTGTCCTATTGTATCCTCATCCCCCGCATGACCCCTTTTCGAAGTTTTTCAAGGACCTCTCTGTAAAAGAGTTTTTTTACTGTTTGGCCCTGAGGCAAAAACTCTGTGGACAATTCCCTGGCTATCAAATAAGCAAATCAGCATGCATTTGATCTTCGACTTGCTCATTCTTGCTTTTTTGGGTTTCGGAGAGCTTGAAGTGTGCCATTCCATGGTTTGGCGCTTGGTTTTCGAGTCGTACTCAAACATCCAAGTCTCATCACCAGTAATGACACCTTCCATAAAATGGGGATAATTTTCAATCGATTCCAAAAAGTCAAGACACCTTTCTCTCCTGATGTCCTTTTGTTTTTTGGAACCATTTTTTGCGCAGATTTTTCTCATTCCCAATTCGTTAGTCAAAATCTAATGAACAGTGGTGTGATTCAAATTTAACTCTTCCCCGATCATTCTTGTCATCAACCAACGATCTTAACGCACAAGATCCCCTATTCTATCGACATTTTCATCGATTCTTGAAGATGATTTTTCAAAAGTATCCGTTGCGCTGTATCCAAGTCTGAAGCAAAACCTGATAGCACACCTGCTGTCACTTATTTTTAAAACGCATTAGGAAAAAAAAAACGGTTTACGAAAATAATTACAAAGAACAAACAAATGACTTTAACATGTTCGAACTTGTACTGGAGGTGCATTACATGTTAACCTACTGCCTTTCCAAGTCCCATCTCCGCAGTGCTGCTAGATCGGGCGCTACGTTGTCAGTCTCATTACTTAATTTACACACCTCGTATGTCCTCAACTCTGTGAAATTTAGAAATAGACTATTTAGTAGATTGATAATATTTGTATGTGGATGATTTAGTGGGCCAAATAAAATTTTGGGAATTGGCTAAACCATTTCTATTAATGAAAATTTAAAAAAATTACAATTCATAAAAAAGGAGTACTACAAAAAGAAGATCGCATCGCAAAGCAGATTAGCATCG